CATGCAAACCTAAAAAAAAAAAATTCAAATGTAACAAAGATAAATCATAAGATCAACTTTCAATTTGCCTCTGCAGACATAAAAAAATTTGTAATAGAACTTTGCTTTTTAGACTCTATATCTTTACATCTCATTATAGGTAAATATTTTCGAATAACATTTAAATCTTCTGATCTAAAATGTTGGTCACTTTGTTGCTCAAAAAACTCTATAAATTTTTTTAAACCTGCAAACCCTTCTGAAACTGAAATTTTTGAAGGCTCTTTATCTGAATCATCGGATTCCTGCTCCTTTTGCTGTTGTTCCATTAATACTAATTCGACAATTTCAGTATCATTCAATTCTTCTTCAGTAGAAATTTGTGCATTATTAAGTTGAAGATATTTGTTAACTTAAAGTAAGGCTGTTTGGTCTAATTTAGTAACTGATGCCTTGATATTATCTTCTTCTTGCTTGATAAGAATATCATAAGAAATATTTGCATGCTAAATTTTATCATTGTTAACAGAAGGTAAAATTCCAGTTTTTTTTTAACAGTTCATGATCATAGTTTTACTGACTTCATTTCAAGACTCTGCTATATAGTAAATTGCATCTTTGATAATAACTTTTTTTCTAAAAAGTTTGTTTTAGTTTAAATTATCAAATACAATTAAACTTTATAATATTTTAAATAAGAACTAAGTCTAGGAAAATGCTAGTTCAGAATTCTTATAATGTTATAAAAGTCTATTAAAATAGACTTTTATAATGTAATAAGAATTCTGAATTAGCATTTTTCTAGACCAGATCTCAAATATCTACTTTTTCATATCTTCATCTTTTTCAAACTGATTAATAAGATGTTAAATATATTTTTGTTTGTATTTTGATTTAAAACATTTGATTATATTTGCATCCATCAACTAAAGGTGCACAGTGGTATTTGGTGAAAGAAAATGAAGTTTAATATTAGTTAACTGAAGGTTAGTTAAATTAGAAATTGTATATAGATAATCTTGACCATTACAAGTTTGACTTTGATTTTGTTGTGTAGTAGGCAATTTTTTGCTACTACCTTTAGATACAGATATAGACTCTATTAACTCAGTTTCTTCTTTTTTGTGAATATTAATACTAGATATGGTAGAGGATAAAATTCTGTTTGAATCATAATGACTAGCTGCATTATCAACTAAAATTAAAACATGTCTGTTTTGAAGACAAAATTGATAATCTAAAGTTTTTAGCCAATCTCCAAATATATCACACCACATCCAAGCCTGAGAATTAGCTCGATAAGTAACTGGTAAGATATCATAATTAATATGAGCTAGTGCATGAGATTCAATTGAGAATCCAATTACAACAGGTTTTAATTTTTGTGTTCCAATTGCATTACATGCTAGTATCACAGTAACTCTTGTTTTATTCTAAAATTTATAAATTTAAATAAGTAAATATTTAATTATTAGGTAGATTAAAATAAATTAAATTAAAATAAAAATATATAAATTTATCATACAGTATAAAATAAACAAAATACAAAATTTTAAAATACATTTTTTTTAGCTTTGTTTAAAGTTAGGGATTAGCATTAGAGGCAGAATTTATAATAAGCAAATATAAGTAGGTTATAATATTTATTTTTTTTACCTTCTTCTATCCTAAACATGATTTTGTTGCAAGGATTTGGTCAGAAGCTATTCGAAAAAAAAGCTCTGTTTCATTCACATTAAAAACATTATCAAGAGTATATTCTTGAATGATATTATGTAATAAATTTTGATAATTAGGTAGGTCCCCCAGAGGAGCAGAATCAGCTTCATCATGTAAATGATAATTTTGTAAATTATTTTGTATTTTAAACTGATAAATCCAACCATTAGAAAATTTAAGTGATTCTTGTTCTATACCCAACTCTTGTGCAAAAAATTTAGCTTTCTCTTTGATAATTAATTTAGACAAAAATAATCCTTTATGAGTAACTTGTTTAATTTATAATTGCATTGCTTAATCTAGTTTTGGATATTTAACTTGTTTATAATGATAAATTTTTGCACTATTAGCATTCTCAGTTACTGCTAATGATTTTTTTTTCTTTTAATATTTTGAAAATTGTTGAACATTCAAGATTATTCTGAAAGTTTTCTTGAAAATATTCTGCGATTTCTTTATATGTATGATTAGGATTTTTTCATTATAAACACAAATTTCATACTTTAACTTGTCATTAATAGCTGTTCTTGCTTTTTTAGATGGTGATTCTAAGGACTTCATTTTTTTAAAAAAAAAATAATGAAAAATCTTTAAAATCAATCTTACAATAAAAAAGCTGTATAAATATAAAAATGTTCAGGAATATAATTTTACTTAATTAAGCTTAGCATTAATGTGAATAATAATGATAATATTCTTGGATATGATAACAAAAATAAAAAGCTCAAAGCTATGATTTACTTAATTAAGCTTAGTGTTAATATGAGTCATAATTTGAAATAAGGTTCTTAGATATTATAAAAAATTCTTATGTATAAATATAATATCCAGAAGGTATAATTTTACTTAATTAAGTTTAGTGTTAATGTAAGTTATAATATTCTGCAAAAGCATTCATATTACATAATATACTTTGTATTTTGCAAAGTTAATAGAAAATATGATATGTAGAGAAGCAAGTATTTGAGTTAGTTATAATAGTAATAATATTCTGAAAAAAAACTATAAACTTATTATAACTAGTAGGGCTATTCTTTGCCTACTAAAGAATAGCCTGCTATAAGTAAAAAAATGTGTTCTGGTAGATTATACAAAATCTCTGTTCAATCGCTAGTAAAAAGTAGCTTAGCATATTTGATTTTTATTATTTTTATTAAAGAGCCTTTCATTCTTGATTCTTTATTCTATACATGTGTCATCATATATTAACCTTATTTGTATTTGATCTTCCTATGCCATATCTTTCTTTTAGCCATTATTATTTGATTCTCACATGCCTTTGTCTTACTATAATAAAAATCAATCTTCTGTTTTTATTATTATAACCTGTAGTTATATATATATATGTACATACCAATTATTCTATTAGCACCAAAAAATAAAGTCTGGCACAATAATTAAATTGCAGAATTAGCTTAATATTACTACATAATTGCACATAATTATAAGTTTTCATTGCATAATATACATATAATTATAAAAAATATATTTACTTTAAAAGCATAATTGGGAACACCCACAGCAAAAAAGGAATGGAACTATATATTATATAGTCCCATTCACACCTTTTGCTGTGGGTGTTCCCAATTTACTTTTATTGCATGTATAATCGATGATTTGTTGTCACATAAAATTACCACCCCTAATCCAGAGATATAATTTTACTTTATTAAGCTTAGTGGTTATAATTTGAAATAATGTTTTTTAAATATTTATAAAAACATATTTAGAATGTGATTATATAAGAGGCAAATATTTAATTAAATATATTTTAATATATTATAAAAATGTGATAGTGATTATAAATAATAATATGATTATATAAAGGTATTTTAATTATAAAATAAAATGAATTATAAAATTTTGTAATTATATAAAGGTTGTGATTATATGGAAAGTGATTGTAGATGGAGATGACTATAGTTACACATATACTTTTGGTATCTAATTAAGTAGTCTGCTGATAGTTCTATACTAGTTGCCATATCTGTAACTCAACTAGAGGCATTGCTTATTTAAACTCTCTGTACTGCAACTCTTACTATTACTAGATTATCTCTGCTATGTAAATCAGTTAAGAAGGTCTAGATGCTTATTCATATTCTTAGAATTTTATATCTTATTTTATGCAGTATATTCTCAGAAGCATTATTACTAAACCTTCTGTATCTTATATATAGCTAATCTAGTTTTATATAATACACTATAATTACCTAACACTTGCAATTAAAGCTAATCTTAAAATACTAAATTACACTATTTCTACTTTTGTAAAGTTCACTCAAACCCTACTGCCTATCTTTCTGATATCTTTTTTATTATTCTCTACTAACTATAACTCAGAACCAACAAACTTTCTAGATTTCCAATTCTGATAGCCTGGTATAATATACCTTAGTATTCTTTTTCTTTAGTAATTCTGACAGTCTGGTTGGTTATATGCTCCTCTATATATCTTGTCATCTGGTTTATCTGCCTGTTCTTATAAAGATGTTTTATAGGCTTCTATCAGTTCAACAGTACTATTAAAAGTTTGTGCTATCTCTTTAGTCAAGAATTTTTAAGTAAGTTTTTTGTCATCTCAGTTCCTTAGTCTTTTATGCCTAGTGGTTTTATTATAAGTTTGCACCAAAGTTTTATGCAACATTGGTTATACATTTTTCTATATACTTGTAATATTACACTTCACATAGATGTTCTGAGCTCCCTATTTTGATAGAATCTAATTTGGTATACCTGAGTTACAGCCACATAAGACTAACCAATCGACAGAAGACAGTTATCATAATGCAGATATAATTTCCAAATTTTATCATAAATAGAATTTAAACCTTAGACCTGCCACTTGAAAGATGACAACCCAACTACTATACTAGGATCACCATCCTCTAAATACAATAAAATATTACTAATTTAAATTATATATAATTATATATATAAGTTATAAATATATTAAATTTAATATATATATTATTTAAAAAACTCTTTCTTGTAAATTATTTTTATATAGTAAAACAAATATCAAATTGCAAATAGGCACATTTAGAATATATAACTAAATAAATAAGAACAACTTATAACAAATAACAACAACAAAGCTACCAAAGATTAAACAAAGTAGAGAAAGTGCCTTCTGCACTCCTGTCCTTTTTACAACCTTGTTGCCGACTACGTTGGCAACTAAAGTAAACAACAACAACAATAAAAAAAATAATAATAACAAAACACAAGTGGCTGAAACCCAAAGGAAAAAAACATGACTAGCTTATATATATACGGATAGCAATGATACAATGGGCAAACAAAGTAAAGAAAAAAAGCAAAAAACTAACTATAACACTACTATTTCAGTTCAAACAAATACAAGAAAAAATGCAGTAGAAGAAAATTTCAAAGAAAAAGGAAATTCTAGCTTAACCCTGAATTCTCAAGATATGACATCATCAGTAGAGATGGAAACAACAACAAATCTAATTTTAGACTCACACCAACCAATAGAAAAATATATTTCTACAAATTTACAAATTTGCCAAAGCCCGATCCAAGCCCTTATCACAACCAACACAAATCTTCTTACACAAGAACAAGATGTAGATGTAAACAAACCAAT